TTGTGTTTATCTGCTCTCCATGGGAGTGCCCCTAATGTCGTCCGTCCACCCGTGTGTGTGTGTGTGTGCGTGTGTGTGTGTGTGTGTGTGTGTGTGTGTGTGTTTTCCCTTTCTTGACCATATAAGGGCAGAAGTTTCGCTTGGCTCTAGTCACTTTGGTCTTGCACAGCAGGCTGGGTGAAACCCTCTCTGTGTAACTACAGTTTACATGAAATAAAAGACCTGACCTTTGATCGTTTCAGGCTCCGCTCAGATTCAGTCAGGACTTTGAGAATATATTCCAGAGCACTGACTTTCAGAGTAAAAGGGTTTTCTTCTGTCTGTGCTGGCTCACACATGGGACTTTCGTGTCAAGCTTAGATTTTATTCAGGTCTGGTTTGGAATAGCATTTTGCAGTGCTAAAGTGTAAACACGGCTTTCTACACACGTAGTCCCTTGTTGGGTAGGGCAATAGCCTGTGCCTGTTTTATCCGGAGGTAGCCACTTCCTTGTTTGGGGGCAGGGCAAAGGGTAGGAATGGTGAGCTGGCAGGACTTCCTTGGTGGGAGTTAGTACTTACAGGGGAAGGGAAATGTACAACACTGAGGTTCTCACACATGTGAGCACTGGGCAGGGGTTTAACCAGGGCTCATAATTGCCCCGATATAACAGTCTCTTTCTGAGTAACTCACTACATGTTGGGTTCCAGGAGCACTTTTAAAATAAAAGAAACCAGCAGCCCAACTGGAAAGGCTTTGCTGGCAGTGTTGACAAATGGGGCCACTGAGAAGAAACGTAACTCAGTGCACTAAGAGTGATCTACGTGCCCAGGAATAATTTGCATCTGGGGTCTTGACCCTCCTCAAATGCCTTATTTCTGTTTGCTTTTGATGGATAAGCACAGGGCAGTAGGTTCGTTCTGACAGACAGCAGCAACAAATACGTAAGACGACCTGGGTGCTGTGATGCCGAGACCCTCAGGAAGTATCTAGCAAAGCTTCAACTCTGAGGAAAAAAAAACTGGAAATAAGCTGGTGAAGGTGACAGGTGTGGGCCTATGGAGCACAGAACATAATAAATCAGGGTAACCCATGCGTGTCATCTCTGCACGTGAGATGGCCGAGGCAGAAGCATCACCAGCCAGCCTAGACATCAGAGTCTCAAATTGAGGGTAGGAGAATAAGAGATGGGACTTTTATTAGGAAATTAAACTTGTCTTGGAGTCTGAGGAGATCTTTAAAGCTGTTAGGCCAACATAAGAGAGCCCTTGGAGCCAGAATGAAGGGTTTCCCCCAGGAAGGTGGTTTGTTAGTGAGCCCAGGTTCGAATCTCAGCTCTCATTCTTGTGGGTTAGAGGGCAGTGTCCTTGTGTGAGCTCCTGGCCACCCACTAGGGCATTCTGTCTTCTAAAAAAGAATCGAGATGACTTGCTGATTTTCTTGCAGTAACTGCTTTGCTGATGTTAGCCAGAATCTATCCAGACAGGCTGTTAACTTACTTGGGGTACTGCAGGTCAGGGGATAGTAGGGAACCTTCCACTCTGGTGTCTGGGAGAAAAAGACTCCAGGGGTGAGAACCACTAATCTCAAAGCATCCATAAACTCAGGTTTGAGAAGCCAAAGGGCTTGAGTTTCAGTCCTGCCTCACATTGCCCTGATGGAGGTCTCCCGAGCTTGCCTTCGCCCTCTGGGTCAGAGGTCCTTCCCTTGGTCTTAGTAGAGAGCTTGCTGGGCAGCTCCTGCAATCCTTCCCAGCTTCCTTGGGTGGCGATGGAAGAAACGGGCTTCCATTTACATTGTGGGTCCTGCCCCTTCACACTGACCTCTCAAGTCCTAATCTCTAGGCCTGGGAACTGGGAGTCTCTGTTTCTATTACATGTCTCCCCGTGGGGTAGTATGTCCAGCTAGTGGTGGCCCGTGTGATGTTCAGGTTCTAATCCAGTTCAAACAATGAGGCTTCATTACGTACACTTAGAGTGTCTCCTCCAGATAGAGTCTCTATAGCTCGGCCATATGCTCTGCCAAAACTGGCCCAAAGGAACCAGCCCTAAATCTGGCCACTGCGTCGTGAACCCCTTGGCTGGTCTTGTTGGAGCTTGTTAAATAACCTGAGTGAGAGGGAGTTTAGAGTTGTAAAAACCGTGCTGGGGGAAGGATGTGGGGGATATTTACAAAACAGTACTCAACTGAGCTGCGTCAAGAACCAAAGGAAGTGTGTAGAGGGGGTGGGGGCAAAGAGAAGGAAGCGCAGATCGAATGTGGTGGGCCCTTGTGTGCAAAGGGGCAGAAACGACTATGGCTGCCATGGCTTCTGGTGCTCTGTGGGCCCCCCCCCCCCGTTCATTCCCACCTCTGCTCATCAGCAGTCCTGTGAGCGAGTCGGGTCCTCGAGGTTTGGTTCCAGTGTAGGGAACTTAGTCTTTGATGCGCAGAAGTGGTTTTAAAATCCTGTCCATGTTTATCTGATTCGCTAGCAACAGGTATAGTGAGGGCATTTGCTTTTATCTTAAATGATAATAGTTTTATTATGTAACACTATAGTAAGAAAGGGTCTTTTGAACATGACCTGGGCACTCTAGAGAAATCCATACGAGTCCTTCTTGGCCTTTTAAGAAAATGATTTCTATGACTTGTCTAATGGCTGATATTCTTGTAGTAACTAATGCTGGTCAGGATCTATCCACATAGGTTACTTGGGGCACTGGGTGTTCGGAAGCAGCCCAGGGGTCTTGAAACCACCGATCCCAATCCACTTTTCTGTTTCTGTTTTTGTTTTCTGTCTCCACCCCACCTTCTTGTTTGTAAAAGGAATAGATTTTTTTTCCCCTAGAAACGGAATACATGTAAGAGGAAGACATTTAACCTGACCCAAAGCTATGACCTTAATATGTATATATTTCCAATTAAAGAGACTGAGGGAGATGGCCCAGAGATTAAAAGCACTTGCTGCTCTTGTAGAGAACCTGGGTTCTGTTCCCAGTATCCACATGGCTGCTCACAACCATCTGTAACTCCTGGCTCCAGTTCCAGAGCACCTGGAACTGACTGCAGGCACACGTGTGGTACAAATGCACACATGTAGGGAAAACACTAGTACACATAAAATAAGAAGATAAAGGAACGGTTGTTCAAAGGTGGTTCCTGTAGTTAAGAAATTGGTAATTCCAATCCCTCCACTCTTCGAGGAAAAACTCAGTCATTCAGGACATTTCCAGCTTGGCCCAGTTCCAAGCTGTTCTCTGATAATAATGATTGACCTTGTGGGCTGGTTCAGTTGTAACTGCTCCTCCCAGTCATTCCTCACTGGCCCTGCTTCCTGCCTCTGGCAGCCAGTTACCACATAGTAGCTTTTTTCTTTGAGATAAGTGTGTCTAAAACGTTTATGTGTGTGTGTGTGTGTGTGTGTGTGTGTGTGTGTGTGTGTGTGTGTATACATATATATATCATTTTTTTTTTTAAAAAAGAAAAAAGACTGCAGCCATTCATGGTGGAATGAACAGGTGGAGATTCCCTGTTCAATGCCATTGCTCAGATAAGACCTACCTAGGTGAACGCAGAACTGCACGGTCTCATTTCCTGTGTCTCAAGGCCGCGACTGCGGCCTTTCTCTAACTGCACACGCTTTTCTAGTTCCCTCGGGAGCTTTGGAAGCTGCCGTTGTTTAAATTAGGGTGCTTTCACTTGCTCAGCTCAGTAGACATTTATGGAGCCCAAGCCTCTGTGGAGAGCGGATGCCTTGAGCAGATGTAGGCGTAGAAAGCTGCAGCGCTTTCTCTGAAGCGTGGATTGCGATTGCGAGAAAGATGGCTCCTAAATGTCCTTAGGGTCTCCAGCCTTTGGTGAACACAGGTTGAGAATGGATAGGATAAATAATGCTACCTAGTTAGCAAGTCCCACCTTACCCTTCCAGGTAGCCTAGGCCCTGGGCTCCGACCACAGGGAGACAAGGACTCAGAGCAAAAGTACTTACAGCAGGAAACAGTCATTGCCTGCCCAAGAAAGAAACACTTTAATTCAAAGCTTTTTTAATTAAAATAAAAACAATATCTATGTTGCTTTTCTCCTTAGACTTGTGAAACTTCTTGTCGCAACCTTGACTTTTAAGAAACTCCAATAAGCTTAGGAAAAAAAAACCTTGGGGCAATTTATCTTGGCCTTGTTCCAGGGAGGTCAGTTATTCTAAAGAGGTTACGGAAAAGGTGGGGCAAGGGGGAAGTTTCTAGATGGTATTAGATCTCCATATGGTATGGTTTGTCGTTTTGGTTTCGGGTTTTTGTTTTTTTAATTTTCCTGGTATGTGTTTTTAAAACCACTGGATTTTAAAATATTCAGTCTCATTGTAAGGCTCCTTTGAGAAGTCGCTTAGAGAAAGAAAGGATAGTTGGATGAAACGTGGCATTCCGACTTCCGATCATACTTCTGGGGACTCTGTAGCTGGGCCTGGACCTATCCAGTGTCCCCCTTTCCAGCCCGCAGGGAGCTGTGAGGAAGCTTTCCCTCAAGCAGATGGTGAAAGGCAAGGCATGGAGACTAGAGCTGGACAGAGCTGTGTGAGCACGTGTGAGCATGTGAGTGTGCGTGAGCACGCAAGCGTGTGTGAGCATGTGTGAGTGTATGAGTGTGTGTGAGCATGTGTGAGTATGTGAGCGTGTGTGAACACACAAGCGCGTGTGAGCATGTGTGAGTGTGAGCGTGTGCAAGCATGTGAGCGTGCGTGAGCACGTGAGCGTGTGTGAACACGCAAGCGTGTGTGAGCATGTGTGAGTGTGAGCACGTGAGCGTGTGTGAGCGTGCTGAGCGTGTGAGTGTGTGTGTTGCTGATGGCCCACTCTCTGCTGAGAGTTGTTTCTAGGTTTGTGTCTTTCCAAGTGTGATGCTCATGTGCGAGGTCTTCAGCTGGTCAGGACTTGCAATACTGAAAGATAGCTTACACCAGACCCCAGACTTCCTGTCTGGAACCAGTTTCTGAAGGTACCACCCTGACTTTCTCCCGGCTCTGAAATGTCTCACTTTCTGCCTAGGCTGAAGCCGATGTAGCTTCTCTGAATAGACGCATCCAGCTGGTTGAGGAGGAGTTGGATCGTGCTCAGGAGCGTCTGGCCACAGCTCTGCAGAAGTTGGAGGAAGCTGAGAAGGCCGCAGATGAGAGTGAGAGGTGAGACTACACCATCCAGCTCCTGTGTGTGTCTGCACGCTGCCCAGCACACACACACACACACACACAGACACACACACACACACAAAGGGAGAGAAAGCTTAGCACTGAAGAGCACTGACAGCTCTTTTGAGCACTGTGGTCTGAGTCCCAGCACCCACATGGCAGTTCACAAACGTCTGTAACTCTAGCCTAGGGTATCTGATGCTCCCTTCTGGCCTCTGCAGACACCGGGCATACATATGATGCACAGACATGCCTGCAAGCAAAATACCCAGATACATAAAAAAGTAAAATAATGCATCCTAAGAAGTCTCAGACCTAGAGAAAGGAGCTATGGTAACCAAACAAGTAGAAGAGAAAGCATAGATAAACCAGATTCAACCTGTAGGCTCTGCAGAAATAAAATGTTCTGGATTTAATATATGTATACACCGAGATTCAGTCAGGGGCTTCTGTGTTTTGCACCTACTCCTAATGTGACCTGGCTTTAAAGACCCAGCCTTGTCATTGTAAAGGGAACCATGGTTCTTGCAGGCCAGCTTTATTAATTTCTTTCTTAATAGTGGGATGGAACACCTGGCAAGAAGCAACTTAAGAAAGGAAGAATTTATTTTGGCTCATGGCTCAAAGGGACACAGCCCATCCTGGTGGGCAAGTTTTGGTGACAGGAACATGAGGCACACACTGGGTCCACAGTCTGGAAGCAGACAGCAATGAATGCTAGTGCTTGGCTAGCTTCTCCTTTTTATGTAGTCAGGGACTCTCGCCTGCGGAATGGTGCTGCCCACATTCTCCCCACTGTCTCCCCACCCTTACAAGCCCCATCTATAAAACTCCCTCACGGGTGTGCCCAGAGGTTTATTAACCAGGTGATTGATTCTACATCCTGCCAAGTTATCAGTCCATTTTAACCATCCCACCATACACTAACCTCATGCATTCTGAAAGGCTTTTTATTAAATCTGTACTTTGCTGTGCAAGTCACAAAGTGTGGGAATGCTTCATGAGACTATTGGCATTCTATTGGTCAAGGGGCGGCATAGCAGTGTGAGCTCAGAACAGTACAGACGTGCCTTGCCCCTGTGGGAAACTGGGCAGGTGAAGGTCCAGTTCTCCAGCTCTACTTTGAAGTGAACCTCTGCCCTCTGGCACTAGATACAAAGAGTCCCTGCAGACTTTAGGACTAAGGAAGCTTGTTAGCTAAAGTTCTCCTCTTGTTCTTTACTACGGCTTAGTTTTCTTTGCTGGTCAAGAGTAGTCTTGCGCATAACTCCCTCCCGGTAGTGCACTTTGAAGGCAATCTGGCAGAACAGGACTGGAGGAGAGAGGAATGTAGAACTCATTTATTTTGATGATCTCTTCTGGCGTCTGAGGGCATTACACACGTGGCGCATATGCAAACACGTAGACAAACACTCACAGACAGGAAGTAAAGATCAATGCCTTTTAAAGAATAATGCTTTACTAAAACTGCTTACTTAAGTTTTGCTAAGTGAAATCCATTTATGGCTTGCTTATGCTACAAATCTGTGGAATCTAGATCCGCTAACATTTCCTGAACTGTAACACATGCTACAATATCCGGTGTCAGTCTTACCTCCCAACACCTAGTCATCCATTTTCTCTCTTTCTCTCACCCCCTGGATATGGTTGCTCTGTGTAGCTAGCCCTGGCTGTCCTGGAACTCTCTATGTAGACGAGGGCAGCCTCTAACTCAGAGATCCACCTGCTTCTGCCTCCTGAAGGCAGGAATTAAAGGCGCGAGCCACCACACCTGGCTATTCATCCAATTTCAATCTGAGGCTTCCCTCAGGAAAAGGGAGAAGGGGCATGATCACTACACTTAACAAATAAAGCATGGTAGCTTTCCTTGTTCCCATGCTTCCCAGATTCAGATAGGATCCTGACATAGCACCTTCCCACTTAAGAATGGGTAATTTAGGGGCTGGAGAGATGGTTCAGAGGTTAAGAGCACTGGCTGTTCTTCCAGAGGTCCTGAGTTCAATTCCCAGCAACCACATGGTGGCTTACAACCATCTGTAATGAGATCTGGTGCCTTCTTCTGATGTGCAAGCATGCATGTAGGCAGAACACTGTATATATAATAACTAAATCTAAAAGGAAGGATTTTTTTGTTTTTGTTTAAAAAAAAAAGAAGAATAGGTAACTTAGAAGTTTCACCAGTATCCAAACTGTTATCATTTTGCCGACCTTCCCTGACACCTGGGTACCCTGTAAGAGACAAGCTCTGCCCACCCCAATCGTGCCCCCCCTTCCTGATGATGCAAGCTGATTTCGAACCTCACTTCATCCCCTCTCACTATTTGTCCCTCTCCTGAAGATGTAACTGCTGCCTCTCCCCTCCCCCCTTTCTCTTTATCTCCTCGCTCCATAATCCCCTTACGCATTAAATAAACTCTGTACCCAAACTCTCTGCACGTGCATGGCATGTCTGTGTCCCACCACCATGAATCTTTCACAGAGTGCACCTAAAGATCTCATTCACAGGGAGCAGAGAAATATGTGTCTTTTCTGCAGTTTCGCTCTCTCTGTTGAGTTTTGGTCGGCCGAATGTGTGGAGCCCCATGCCCCACAGCAGCAGTGGTCATCTCTCCGTCTCTGGTCTTCCCGCTTGTTTGTCTTTCCAGAGGCATGAAAGTCATTGAAAGCCGAGCCCAAAAGGATGAAGAAAAGATGGAAATTCAGGAGATCCAGCTGAAAGAGGCCAAGCACATTGCTGAAGATGCTGACCGCAAATATGAAGAGGTCAGTTTCTGGGACTCAGAGCCTTACAGACTCACAGCGGTGACTGGGAATTGGATACTGTCTGGGTCCCTGGGTCTAGCAGTCAGCTTCCCTCATAGAAGTGGATGGTTCTGAGAAGCAGGATTCCTTTACCTGCAGAGACTGCTTCTTATTGTGATGAAGCCAGCCAGTCATCTGCATAGGGAGGAGAAACCAATACCTCCCCACACCCTAAAGGCTGGGACAAAAACATCTTAAGCCAGGAAGAGGGAGAGCTGGGCCCTTAGGAAAGGAAGCTGGCCTGCTGTCATGATCCAGATGTTTCAGTTCAGACTGTAGAGAACATGGACCACAGAGCTCCTTGGGAGATTTCATAGAGGCCTCTCCAGGGTGGTAGAAATCCTTCGTTAGCCGGGCGGTGGTGGCAACACGTCTTTAATGCCAGCGCTCAGGAGGCAGAGGCAGGCAGATCTCTGTGAATTTGAGGCCAGCCTGGCCTACAGAGTGAGTTCCAGGACAGCCAGGACTGTTACAAAAACAAAGAGAAATGCTTCGTTAGCACGGGCGCTGTCTGCAGTGACCTGGTCCCCTATGGAATGACGTGGGATGGTGACCGCCAGAGTGACTTAGGTTCCAGTTTCTCTTTCTGCATTTCATCATGATTGTCTGAAACTGTCCAGGGCTTGGAGCTGCCTCGGAGGAACCTTTCCTCCGGGCTGGCGTTTCTGGCTGCAGGTTTGCCCTTGCAGCCATCTCTTTTGGCCTTCTGTGCAGATCTCCGTGGGGTGTAGTCTCTGGATTTATTTTTGGTGCTCTCTCGACAGCCCCCTTCCTTTTCAGTCTAAAATGCCTCCTCATGTCTCATCCTCCTGCTATTTTTAAGATTGCAGATTTCATATTCCCCTCATTCCGAGAATTGCTCTGGGTGCTGTGTAATTATCTCGACTCCACCTGGAGCTAACCATTCCAGTCTCTGAGCAGGGGCCCCGGTCTCTGCTGAGGGCGCGTTGCCTGTCTCTAGTCTGCGGAAGGAAGAGTGGACCATTTGTAGTCGACTAGAATCCCTAGGGCCCGTGGATGTGTTTGCTACCCTATAACCACCCCCTACACCAAGTATGCAAGACCTCAGCGTGTCTGCTGTGTTTGCCCTGCTGCAGGTGGCCCGTAAGCTGGTCATCATTGAAAGTGACCTGGAACGTGCAGAGGAGCGGGCTGAGCTCTCAGAAGGGTAAGCGGGCCCATTGCCACCACATGTGGGGATGCTGCAGAGCAGTGACTAAAACCAGCATGACCTTCTAGCAGCTGCACCTTCGCCCACCTCGGCTCCAGGCTCCTTGCGTGCTCAATGTGCTGTGGATGAGCCATGAGCGTGGAACATGGAGGAACCATGTGGGGTGTCTGTGAATGCGTGTGGCACTGCATGCCTTACCTGCACTGATTTTGTGAATGGCCTTGTGCATTTCCTGTGTCCACTAACAGCCAAGTTCGACAGCTGGAAGAACAATTAAGAATAATGGATCAGACCTTGAAAGCATTAATGGCTGCAGAGGATAAGGTACTGACGGCTCACGTATGGTTTTTAGGTTTAACTGCATCCCAGACCGCTTTGAGCTTCCAATGCCTACTGGTTGGTTTGCTGTAATGACTGTACCTTCACTACACCCTCTGCTGTTTATATCTTGCTTCAAGTGCTTTCTCTTGGTCCTTTATGCTCTTTGTTTTTCCCTTCATAAATACTCTGAGGGGTGGCCAATAAGAAGCCAAACTATCACACCTTGGAGATGCTGGATTTTGTTTCTCTGTCCCTCCACTGTTGCAATGGAAGGCAGAGCCCATGGCAAAACCAAGCTTCGTGCCTCATGGTTTGGCTACTTAAGGCAGCTCCCACCCGCCCGTCTCTAGGACTCAGTTTTCATTTTTTCCCATTCCTCTCCTTTTTTTTCTCTCCTCGCTCCTTGGGCTTGTCTCCCACCCTTTCTGCTTCTGAACGAAAACATTAGCAAATGTGCCGAGCTTGAAGAAGAGTTGAAAACGGTGACGAACAACTTGAAGTCACTGGAGGCTCAGGCTGAGAAGGTAGGCCAGGAGCAGGGATTGGGGAAGACACCCTTTTAAAGAGCTGCTCCAAAGAAGCCCTGCTGGTGAAAGTAATGGCACAGGAGGCATTTTAGCAAGGGGCAGCATTTTGAGACAATTACCTAATGGTTCTTGGATGGTAGGATGGTTTTTGTTTGGTTGGTTTTGTTTGTTTAGTTTCTTTTTTTAAAAAAAAAAAAGATTAACAGAGAATGTATCTTATGTTGGGCAAATCATCAATTCAATTTAAACAAAACGCCAAGTGGATAAGTTATCTCTCTCTCTCATCCCATGTAAAGTAATAGGCAAGAAAGCAGAGAATGTATTGTAGTATGCCATGTGATACCTGAGGTCCTGTTACCTGCTAGGGGATCCCCAACATCTGTTGATTGGGCTGGCACGTTCCTTGTGTGAGAAGGCGTGAGTGTGAGAGCCGCAGCCTGACATCTGGAACGCTCTTTCTAATTACAGTACTCGCAGAAGGAAGACAAGTACGAGGAGGAGATCAAGGTCCTTTCCGACAAGCTGAAGGAGGTAATGCGAGAACCTGGAAGAGGCTGTCTGGATGGTGGTTAAGGTTCTGTGGAGTGGGCCAAGGCACTGTCCTTTCCAGTCGAACGGTCCAAGTCAGGCATATTGAGAGGTTTTTTATGTACCGTGTTAGCTAGCTGCCGTCGCTCACAGTAGCGACTCTCCCGGGTGATAAACACCTGAGGTCTGTTCTTTGATTTTCCCTGTACCTGTAACTACTGGTCGGAATCTCCGTGACCTTGACTCAAGTGAATTAAATCATTACAGGCTGAGACCCGGGCTGAGTTTGCTGAGAGATCAGTAACTAAATTGGAGAAGAGCATCGATGACTTAGAAGGTAAGGTCTTTAACATTTTAAAGTCAGACCTTGTTGTTGAATATCTGTCTTGATAAAGCAGTCACGCGATCCGAGGGCTTCCACCCTGACTCTCTCACTTCCTGTCTGGCTCTCCTCTGGGGTTCTCACCTGTGACACCGAAACTCTCGGACCCCTTGGGGTGGTTTGTCAGCCACCAGACAGCTTACTCTAATTTCTTGGACTTCAGAAGTGGGTCTGGGCTGGTTTTCACTGAGTGAATAATTATAGATGGATGTGACTCTGCTTTATTCTGTGTCTCTGGTGATATTTCCTGATTGTCAGAACAGTGTGGATGTGTTTTAGACACGCCCATCTTCCAAGTTTGTGCCCAGAAGAAGACCTTGGTTTTGTTTTCTTTTTTAAGCCATTCATTAGCAAAATAGTCTGTAACCTGAAAGGACAGAGGCAGGAATCAATAGGGCTGCAAGTCTCAAGATTACACTTAAGCATTCTTAAAGGAAAAAAAAAAACATACCTCACAGGCAGAAGGGGTTGAAGGAGGACTTGAAGGGTGTTTAATTACCAAGACGGCAGCCAGGCATGGTAGCACTCACCTTTGACCCCAACACTCAGGAGGCAAAGGCAGGTGGATTTCTGAGTTTGAGGCCACTCAGGGATATACAGCAAGTCCCAACCTAGCTATTGAGACCTGTCTGAAAAAGAAATAGAAAAACAAACTGACAAATAACAACAAGAAAAGAGAAGAGAGGATGGGATGTGGGTACAAGCCTGCCGGTGTGTGGGCAAGTACAAACCCACCACCATTACAAAACTTAAACTGCAGACAAGCCCCAAACTGTGGCTTCCTTTTCTTTTCAAACTTCTGGTACTAGCAACAAGCACCTCAAGAGCAAGAACCACGGGAATAATTTAAGTACTGCCAAAAAATCAAAATCCCATGGTCTGGCTTGGGCGAGAAGCGAGTGGTTTGGAGGTAGCATTGCAGATTGTCGTTGAAAACTGAACTTGCTGCCTTTGAATATTTCCCATCCCCGCAGCTTATAGCTGCAGGTTGCTGACTACTCCAGTGTAAGCAGACAGCTCTGTGAAAAGAAAGAAGGACCATTGCCCACCAGGGAGACCGTCTTCTGTGGGTGTCTTTAGGAGTTAACAGTTCATTGGGGTTGCCCACCCTTGGTATTGTGTTTTTCATATTGGGTCTTTCTCCTTTTATTTTCTAATGGGTTTTTGTTCTCTTTGTTTTTGTTTCAATTCCTTTAAAAACAAATCGCACGCCTCCTGCATTGGCCATCTGCTGCGGCACCAACCCCTTCATGCACTGCCCTTTTCTGGCTGACGTGTCGGGATGGCGCCCATGCCCCTCTTGCTCACCCTCCATCTCTTGACCATTCTCCATGTCCTTGCACCTCTGCCTTCCACTTCCTGCTCATAGATGAGCTGTACGCTCAGAAACTGAAGTACAAAGCCATCAGCGAGGAGCTGGACCACGCTCTCAACGATATGACCTCCATGTAAATGCTCATGCACCCTGCCTGCTCGCGCCCTCACCCTCATGCTTGTGTGATGAACTCACCATGGCTCCCTTCTCAATCTCTGCTCTCCGTTTTTGCACCTTGTGTTGGCTCTCTTACGTAGCCTAGCATAGCCACGGTCTTTTTCACATTGTGCTAACAAAGACCAAATGGATCCAGTCCACGCAAAACATTCCAGAGTCCTTTCATTTCATAAATGCAAATCTGGCTTCTTTCCACTGAGAGATGAACTGGATTCTGAATGGCCCTGAGTACTATCCTTTTAAAACCTTAAACCAGACTCAAATAAAATTAGAAGGCCATGTTGCAGTGATGCAGGAAGCTAGGAAGAAATACCAGGTTGTTTCCTGGGATTCTGTGAAGTACAATATGTTCATTTTCACTTAACACTGTTAAGTTTAAAGTATCAGATTATTAAAAATCTGAGGAAAAGGAAATGGGCATGACCAAGTACATATCTCTACACCCTGGAACGAATTCCAGACCATGACCAGTCATGGTAGAACCTGGCTTTTATATAGGAGGAAGAGGCAGGTATATCTCTGAGTTTAAGGCCAGCCTGGTCTATAACAAGTTTCAGACCAGCCAGGGCTATACAGTGAGACCCTGTCTTTAAAGAGAGAGAGAGAGAGAGAGAGAGGGAGAGAATTCTAGAGCAAAAATGAATGGTTTCCTGAGGAACCAAGTCTTTTTTATTTGCTGTGTTTATTATATTGAATGGAATTAAAATACCCACAGTAAATGCTTGCCACAACCGACATCAGAGAAACAAGAAATAAAACATTTACACAATATGAATTCGGAAGTTAATGTTCATATTTTACTCATGTGAGTAATAGTGGGCCTTGTTTGAGAGCCCTCAGGCACACACAGCTAATTTACATATTACTAACCACACTTGTGCCCCTTGGGATTCTAACCCCTGGAGGGTTTCACAGAGGTTCCAATACCGCTGGGTTCCATCAAAGCTGGGGATGGCGTTTCTCTAACCATTCAGAAATACGGTAGCCTCGGGGGCATGCCATGCGCCTGCTGCCTTGGAGGTTCCAGAATATCCTTTAGAGACCTGGCTGTCACCGTAGAAACAAGGGCATGCCTCTTCCCCACCATTTGTCAATGAAAGCAGAACCAGGTCATCTGTAGCCCCGTCCTCCCCAGTGCTCAGATGTGATGCTCTCTGCGGGAAACTCTTGAGTGTGACGAGAGTCCCTAAAGGGGGGTTTAGTTTAACATTTGTTTTAAGTTCTGCTTTTAAAGTCACGTTTGTAAGATCTTCCTCGAGGTTGGCCCATGACAGCCGTGGGTCCAGGCACGAGTTGGCACGGATGGCCTCCCCCAGGTGCAGCTGGCAGTGGGGTTTAACACGCCTTAGCACTCGCTTGCATTTCACATACTGCATTCATCCGTGTGGTTTTCCTTCCTTCTTTTTCCTTCTCCATCGCACCACTGTTTCTCTCTCTCACCTTTTGTTTCACACAGATAAGTTTCTTTGCTTCACTCCTTCCAAGACTCCTTCGTCAAGCTGGACGGCCCACCTCTCTGAGCTCTGCATCTGTCTGTTCTCCAGCTGACCCAGGTTTCCTTTTAGCGCCCACCTTCGGGCCGGGCATGTACCGTGCCATCTGTTGTACAGGAGCTATCCACCCAGTGTAAAATAAACACTGTAAGCTGTTCCCGTTTGCTATCCTTCTACTCCTTATTTATTGACGCTTTTGTCTCAACACTGAATAAAGCTGCAGTTCGGCGTCCTGCATCTCAGGCTACATTCTTCTTCTGAACGCTGTATGCTAACATCAGGAGTTTTTAAGTGGTAGTTTCTTGTGCAACTTTTGCGATAATACCTGGTTTTGAGATACTGGAGTAAGGGCCCAGCTATCTGTGGTTTTAGGAACTGTGTGGTTCTGACAGTTTGGGTTCAGAACCTCCACACGGTAGATAGTGGGAATCAAATTCTGGCTTGAGCAATGTCTTCCCTGCCAAAAGTTCAGTTTGGGGTGTGGCACCCTCTCAGTGCTGGTACGGAGATGGCTCCATCTGGCTCGGTAATGGAAGTCTGTGTAGCCGTCCTGTACTCTGTAGCTAGGGAGTTTGCATATTGTGAAGAACTTGGATTCTAGCATTGTAAGCCTTGGTTATTATTTATTGTCCTATTACACAGAGATGAGTCGAAGCATTTGTCTTTAAATACATTCATGGCCCAGATACATTCATTTTGAACACAAAAATCACATTATAGGATTTCTAAATATTAGCTACGTTTGAACCGTGGTTTATTTTTGTGATCTGAAGCACAACATATATTTTACAAAAAGTGTGCTTATATAAGGTGAGTTTAACCCCTTCCCTTATGAACCATGGCAGCTGATTCACAACCCACCCAGCCCAAGAAGCAATGCTTGATATCACTCACAAACAGCTGAGTAACCTTTATTTGAGAATTAAGACTTTAAAACAATGTGACCTCTAGCATCTTAGCTCTTAACGTCAGCCTGGCTCCGTTCCTGTGTCTTAAGCATGAGTAACCCTCCTCTGGCTCATGTGTGGGACTTGTTAACCTAATAAGACTAGGCATACCACTCTCCTCAAATCAGTTTGGACAAACTCTGAAAATAGGCAGTTACTCTGAACTCTTCAGAGCAGAGTGAATTTTTTTTAACAAAGGGTCTGGATTAAAATATTTTAATTAATGACATGGTAGACCCTGATTTTAGGATCCAGGCAGTATCTCTTCACCGAAGGGTGCAAAGGCTTCTGCAGTTTTCTGGGTTGTTTTTTTGGGGGGGGGTGTTTTGTGTTTGTTTTTCTTTCCCAGAGGCTCCTTGGGCCCACTTCTCAATGACTTTGGAACCTTGTTCCCTTTAAAATTCAGAATAATAGTAGTGCCCTTTCTCAGAGTGTCCTGTCACAGAGGAAACAGGACTCTTGGAGTTCTGCCAAGCAGACATTAATGCATCTTGGGATTTCTTTCCCCAAGATTTCTCACTCCCAAGAGCATTCACTGCGAGGGAAATAGGAACAAATGGTCCGTGAAGGCCGGTCCCAGGTAGCTTAAGGTGTGTGCGTCAGGAGCATAGACAACAAACTGAGTTTATCAAGAATCGGTTTAGTGGCCTTCGGATTGAGCAAGGGCCAGGCTGTGTCAGCAACTCTTTCAAGAGCTTCAGTTGAACCAAACCAACAGCATTGCCAGCTCCAAGACCAGAGGCCTCAAGATGACTAGGATCCGTGCAGAACAGGAGAGAGAGAGCCCTTACGAATGTGTCTGACCCCCCCCCCCCCCCCCCCCCCCCCCCCCAGCCTTGAGCTCGTCAAAGTCCCCGGCTCCCTTGCAGCTAGAAGGAGCAAGGCCCAAAGTGGGTTGAGATGGGGAGCACTGCCATTTAATCCAAATTCTTAGTTGGTCTCTGGGTTCCCTCAGGTTTCCCCAGTGCTCTTCTCTTCTAGGTGGCCAAACATGTGGGCTCAGTCCTGCTTGTTGCCCAAGGTGCTGGTTCCCCATAATGTTACTGTGGATGTAGTAATGGGGTTTCTGGTTTGCAACTTCTAAGTGTGGGAGGCACTGGAAGTCAGCAGGATAAGAGAGCTGGCCTGGGTGTGCTCTTATAAGCTGGCCATGTTGGAAGAGAGGAATGGCCGAGTCTACACTGGCAGACGTTGTGTGTTTGGAGCCAACAGAACAGAAAGTCTCCCTGGCTGCTACCTGGAGGAGGTAACAGCTGACTAGAGTTTTGGAGACTCAGAAAATTTAGAGAAGAGGAAAAGGCATGGGTTGAACATAGTTCTTCATAGTACATCTGCAATAGACATCAGGAGTGTAGTAAATTCCCCCACCTCTCACCATTTATGAGAGAAAGTTGACAGAATCATTCCATTCCCAGCAGTGAGAGCCATGGTTTCTCACTAGGCAGGAGGATTCTTAGCTCTCCGAGATCATCCAGTAGAATGTCCAGGCCCATGGAGTCACCATCATTCAAGTCAACCACACACACCCCACTTTTCCTAGTAGGTGCTAGTTTCTTTGTCACCAGGTGTCCCCTGGCTCATCAGACACAGGCTGAGTTCTGTGGTGGACCGCTTCGCCACCTGGGTGGATTACAAGGCACTACATAAAGCTTGTATCACACTGGGCAAGTGTAGATGTTTGAGAAGGTTTGGGCGGGGGCGCACATACCACAGTGTACATCCAGAAGTCAGGGGACAGCTCTTAGGAGTCGGTTTTTTCCTTCCACTGTGTAGAACCTGGGGGACCAAACTGTCATCAGACTCCTCCACAAGCACCTTACCCGCTGAGTCATCTCCCTGGCCCAGTTTTATTTATTTTATGCATGCCATCAACACCCAGCATGCATATCATCCTCTTGAAGCACACAGATAAGTTCTGAATCAGCGTGGAGTGGAGATAAACACTTGTTTGCTGTGGGTAACCACCATGGAGGTCAGAGGAGAGGTTCAGGCTTTGTATGTGCCCCTGTGTCTAGAGGGGAGAATGGGAGTCTTTGAAAGCATGTCCCTGTGGCAGAAATGGTAGTACAGGCCCAGCCCCACCCTGCACCTGAGCAGTGGGGATGGGGTGTCCAAGAAGAGTGGACAGAAGTGGGCGGGTCAGGGGCTCACCTAGAATCTCTGCAGAGCTCTAGCAAGGCATGAGTGGCAGGGCCTGGCCTCTAGCCTGGCCTTAGTCCCCAAATCTGTTGTCCCAAACTGCACATAGTTCATGTCACAGGATGGTTTCAATGAGGTGCAAAAGGAACATCGGTTCCTTCCCGCATCCTGCACCTCCTTCATTCTGCACTACATCTCCGTCAAGATTCCAGCCCTTTCTCCCTTCTCCCAGGCCTTGCCATGCACCATCGCAGGACACAGGGTGCAGGACCTTGGGTCGGAGTACACCACTGCTATCCTGTGTATCCGTGTTTTCCAGTCTGTTAACTGCCTCTCACTGACTCGAGCTAACCTCTTCTTCCTTCTGTCTCCTCTTTTCTGCTAACCCTTGCTGACCTGTCCAGACCAACTCTACCATCAACTCGAGCAAAACCGCCGCCTAACTAACGAACTAAAGCTCGCCCTGAATGAGGATTAAAAATTTGTGTGGAGAAACTTGGGCCAAGTTCTAGGAATGGAGCCCATGTTCAGGAGATCTATGTCTCATGGGATTGAAAACGATCGCTTTCTGCAGAAATGGGAAGGAAAGGCATTGGTTGGAAGACCAGTCTTGCCTTGTTTTGCTCTATTTGTCTCAGTTAAATCCTCATTAACCCCCCCCCAAAAGTTTTTATGATATATTACATATACATGAAAATATTTATACCAACCAATTCAGCCCTTCCCACATCAACAGGTCCTCTTAAACAGCTGTGAGTCCTGCTTTAAATATCTATTGCAAATGTGTGTCCCTAACATCTTCATAACATGTGCAGTGTTTGAAATGTGATTCAATGTACCTACCTATGCTTGGGCAAAATAGCTTTTGAAAGCAGGAGCTCATATCAGAAGTCCCTGGTTGAAAGGTATGCTTCGTTTAGCTTAACGGTGTTGGATTCTTATGGGTGTCATTCTAATAAGTAGAATAGTATAAAAATACTAAGAGACTGTCCTAATGAAGTGTGCATGAGGTGTGTCAATAACCATCTGTAAGCAGTAGAAATAAACCGTTTAAAAAGTGGTTAGAAACCTATTTATGTCATCTTTGTTTCTGTGAGGTTGTGTGCTCACACAGCTACCAGATCTTTAACTCCCTGTAACCCAGAATCCTGTGCTGGTATTAACTTCGGTTTGTGTAACAATGCTCTACCTGTATTTGGTTTTTGCACCCCCCCTCCCCCTGTTCCTGCAGCACGCTGTGGGTGAGCCTTCACCAAACACCCTGCCCCTGCCAGCAGGGTGGATGGATGGTGTAGGTGCACCCCGGGCCTTGTCTGGAAATGAGTGCTGTTTTAAGCATGTAGAGTGCTGCTCCTCTTCTGTGTGTGCGACTGATGTTTGCTTACTACGTGTGCAAACCGCTACCAAGTCTGGCGCACAGCTATTCATGACTTAATTTTCTAATCCCATCACAGAGAAAGTGGCTCATGCCAAAGAAGAGAACCTTAGTATGCACCAGATGCTGGACCAGACCTTACTGGAGCTAAACAACATGTGAGAGCCTCCTTAGCCGCGGCCACACCCCTTCATTCCCCTGTCATTGTTTTCTTTCATTTTCAAACACCCGCTTACCAGGAAACTCCTTTGACGCGTTTTTATATACTTTTAACCACTGTCACCAAAACATCTGCAAAGAGCCAACTAGGGCAGGGGGTGGGGAAAGACACACAGAAAGGCAAGCCCAGGTTGGGGCCCTTATCACTTAAACGTGCCATTTCCCAGGATGATCTTGCCACACTTCTTAGCGTTTTAGGCATGCGGTTTGCTTAGCCAGGGTAGGAAGCCTCACGGAACCAGAAAGATTTCCAGTCAGAGTGCCAAGGTAGAGTCACCAAGAAGACTGATGTTGGAGACAATCGGGTGCGGATTGGTGCTACTTTAAGCAAAAGGACCCCTGAGGGTCTTTTGTTCAATATTATACAATTTAGACCTCCGTCCAACACTAATTTATTTTCAGTTTTACTGCAAGACAAGACTATGGTTTCTTATGCCTGTCTTCATAAAAGTCAAGGGTCTGGAAGCCACACTGGTCTTTTAAGAGTCCCTTTCCTTCCCAACTGACACACCTGCAGCCCCTTCCAGCTCAGCAGGGAGAGCATTCCATGGGGATTGCCCCTCTTTGCAGTTCTCCATGTCAGGGTGAGAGATCTAGGCACTACGTACATAATTGGTAAAGAAACGGCATTTTCTTAAGAGTTATAACTATATGTAAACATTGTATAATGATACGGAATAAAATGCACATTGTAGGACATTTTCTAAATCTGGTGGTCCTGTCGTTTTTTTTTGTTGTTGTTTTTTTAGTGAATTTTAGACTTTTTGACATGCCTGGTTGCTTGCAGTGATGTTCCAAGCTAGATCCCCTGATTACCTTCTCAGCCGTGATTTAAGTGTGTAGAGGTGGCAGCGTTCAGGGAAAGCCCTTCCTAAAAGTCATTTTCCGTGTTCTTGGCCTTATCTCCGTGGACTAAGAGACCCTTTGCAGTGAGCTTACTTCTCCGAATGTTTCCCTCAATTTGTAGCTAAGTCTTAAAGAGCGATGTGTCCACATTTCAGTTCAGCCAGTGGTGGGTTGAGGTACCAAATCTCTGGTGGAACTTTGTGATTATCCATTTTCAAATTCACACAAGTTCTCTACTTCATTCTTATATTTCCCAGAGCTAGAAACTGAGACTGTTGTTTCCTAGCTCTTGAAGACACTAAGCAAACTATAAACAGTGTCAGTTGGCTTTGGTCTTACTACAGCAAGATTGAAAGGGTCTGGGGGCGGTTCTCACCAAAAGCGAACCTAGTGGGGTATAAAGCAAAGCTCCCTTCATGCACAAAGAAGAACACTTTGGTTCACAAGCATTAGCTGTTCTGGTTGTATGGCAAAGATTCTAAGAAGGATCCTGGAGACCTGGCTGTTCTATCTAGGTAGAAAACTGTTCCCTTACCCTAGGTAAATGAGTGCTGGGAGTCTCCGCCTTCCTCTGTGTGCCATCCCCAGCTCCTTCAGTATAATCATGGAAGTCTTCCCGCAAGCACAGGCTGTCCCTTCAGATCTAGCTTCCCATCAGGAGTTGCTGTGAAGGGCCTCAGCCTGAGGTGTCACACACAGATGAGCCGAGCACAGGTCTGCTGTGGTGACCTGACTGGAACCCAAGCTAAACATGTTCTATACCAACGCTGCTGTCCTCAGTCTGTCACGTGTCCAGAAGACCACCTCTGTGAAGCTAAGCAAACCCTCCCTTTGCCCTGGATAAGGGTAACTATCCTTGGATAGCATTTTTTTTTTTATGTGCTATAGTCTGTTCACTGTACAAATAGTAAAAGAGCAAGTCAGGTATGCATAGCTCCACAGCTCACATGTGATGGCCAAGATCTCACACTTTGGCTTGGAGACAGACACCAAAATTCAATTGGGATTCTTATACTCTTGCAAACCTGTCACAGCCACAGAAAACTGAGGAAAGTTGCAGGAGAGGAGCCCTGGAAGATGTAGGTGTGGCCTACCAGTTAGCAGCCAGCATAACCACAAGGTTGTGGCTTAACATCAGACCTCTCCTGGGTCGCTGAGATCAATTCTCCATGAAGCATCATGCCAATTCAATAATTTCCACATCTTTCAGAGTAGCAGAACAGCCATGTCTCCCCATGGCACATGCCTTTGGTCTGACCCCGTGTGATAGCCTCTGGGCAGGCTGCCCGGTGCAGTCAGGGTGAAGAGATTAGGACAGTGCCATCCCAAAGCCAGGCTGGAAGCCGGCAGAGACGGTGAGGAGAGGATTGAAGATTCACGATGTGAATGCCATTGCTGAGACTGCAAGCAGAAGGAGGGCTGGGTAGTTCAGGGTTAGCTGTGAACTCCTAAGAGGAAGAAGATAGGCGAGAATATAAACATCTCCAAGACAAACTCACATGAGATCCAGTGTCCTCAGGGGGAAGGAAAAAAGCACATCATAGGTCCCCTCTGAACTTAAAAGCTGGCCGTGTGTAAAACACTGCCTCCCCTGACCGCTCCTGGGGACTATTCAAGAAAAACAAGATCTGCCCGCCGTGAATACCAGTGTGCTGCCGTGAATGCTGGGGTGTCGTCTTTGTGGAGCCTGGTTTTGTTTCGCTTTTCTCCACAAAAATATTTTTTTTCTTGAACCAATATTTGAGTGTGTTAAGTTGTTTCAGCCTGCCAACGCTTTATTAGATGTATTTTCTGTGTCAAATGTACATGAGGAAAAAAATATAAATTCTCCAACCAAGACAGAAAACACCAGTAGATTTGGGGAGCCGTCTTTTCCAGAATTATGGATGGGTTTGGAAAGTAATGTGTGACGCCAGGTAACACACGAAGTGTCCCCTGCTGTCACGTACGCTTCTGAAACTGAGGGTTTTCAGAGCTATGCTCCTCCAAGAGGTGACATCAGTTTTCTGTGTCACACAATGAATGGGGCTGTATTGAACGTTTCCTAGTGAGAACATGACTTTGTCAAATGTCTGACAGATGGGCACTGACCCAAAGGATAAGGCTGGTTCTTGCTGCCTGTGAGCGTTCACTTCCCATCTGCTGCCAAGCCTGGGAGAACAAAGAGTCAAGTCAGGGCCTTATCGGAGCCTGCCAAGGCTGGTCCCCCATACACAGATGCTCAGACTGGGAACGGCCTCCTCTGAGGCTTGGTCCTCGTTCAAGGCCACTTGGCCAGTTTACTTCCGCTCAGCCGAAGACCTGGCTGCTCCTGCTCCTCACATCACAGTGAGACCTGGTTAATGTGACCGTTACATGTCTTCATCCTTTAAGGAAGTGGTTTCACCTCTTTCTGTGCCGTGAACTTCCTCAGGACTCAGTGCACAATGACGTAGTGAGTATTCAATGCCACCCTCTCAGTCTCTTGGCTGTTTCTCAGCCCCGCACCTGTATTGAGCCCTAGTGGAAATGTTAAGGCCACCCTTCTTAAATAGAAGTCCGCAGCTGAGGTCGTCAGCACAGGACTTGAGGACCATCTCCAGAACCCACTTTAAAGAGGGGTCAGGGAGTAGAAGGAGAGATGTCTCTCGGTCTTTCCAGGGGTCTCCTGTTTCATTCTTTCAGCACCCACGTGACAGCTCACAACCATCTAGGACTCCAGTTCCATGAGATTCAGTGCCATCTTCTGGCCTCTGTGGAGACCATGCACATCAGTGATGCACAGACATAACATGCAAACAAAGCACTCCTACATATTAAAAAAAGTTAATAAGCTGGGCACAGTGGTGCACACTTGGAATCACAGTGCTGGGGAGGTGAAGCCTGGCAGATCCTGGAAACTGCTGGCCGGTCAACCAGCCTAGCTTATTTGGCAAGTACAAGGCCAGCGAACAATCCCATCTCAAAGCACAAAGTGGACAGTGGCTGGGGAATGACAGATGAGATTATTCCTGGCCTCCACACACCTGCACTTGTCCCATGTGCACCTGCACACACGTGCAAGAAACAAGAGTCAACTAGTGCCACTCCTGTGGCTACCACCATGTGTGTGGCTCTAGTGCCCCACAAAAGATAAAATTCAGTCGTTGGTGAGACAAATGACCCAGAACGAAACACAGCAAGAGATGGGCTCTGTGACGTACATTCGGATTTCACTTTTAAGCAAAGCACTTGGCCTTTGAAAACAGGACACTGGGCCTCTGGTCCGTGTGGCGAGCAGCTGCTAAGCTTTGTTGTCAAGGTGACACACGTGGAAAACAAGAGCCTCAGCTGAGGAATTTCCTCCATTAGACTGGCCTGTGGCATTGACTGTAGGAAGGCCCAGCCACCTGTGGGTGTTTCTGGCGTGTCTGGGCCACATAAGTAGCCGAATGATGAGCCTGGAAGCTCCTTGGTCTCTGCTTCTGTTTCGACTTACCTGCCTGCCTGGGCTTCCCTCAGTTCTGGCTGTGAGTCAAGTGTGCAAGCCGAAGTCAAACCGAGAGGACCCAGGTTGCTTTTGGTCAGTGTTTATCACAGCAACAGGGAAACGAACTTAGACACTGTAGGCCCAGCAGTGGGTATCCACGGGAGCATTTCAGCCCTCATTGATTCTACAGGAGCTGTAAAGAAGACAGATGTGGAATCCCCTGACCCCCTGGATTCAGATAAAAGCTGATGACAGGTAGGAAACACCCGCCCCTCCTGCGCCACTGCTTTTTTTGGCGGAAGAGCAGCCCATGGTGATGGCTTCTACTTTATTTTCGACTTGGTATTAATTTGGGTTGCTACCCTCCCAGTGGGATTCTTGTTTAGAGTTTTAGATCAAGCATTAAAGTCCCCTGTGCCTACAATAGAGTAATAGATCCCTTCTACCTCCCAGGGCACCTCGCTTTGATGTGCTGACCACATCCCGCACCAGCTTCATCCCAAGCTTACTTCCTCTATGAAAACTATAGTTCACAGTAAAATAACCCTCAAGGAGTTGCTAAGGACATTATTACCCAAAGTGAGCCCAATACTGGGCTTAAAAGAATCCTTTCAGCCCGTTGCTGAAAGTCCAGTGACCTTCACAGATGTGAAAATCAGACATCAGTACCCAGGAGGCCGGAGTTTTGTTCCGAGGAGCATGCTGGCTCCACTGGGAGCTAAAAGACCCACATCCTGGGAACCCCAAGTCAGCCACATCTAACTAATGGCTGGCACGATCGGCATGAAGCCCACCATTGTGTTCCTTTCCTGAGAGTTACACAGACATTTCTTTCCAGAACACTCCACTGCTGTCAGCCTAGCCCCCGCACACGAAATTCAAAAGGTACCAAGAATAGGCTGACCAGAAACAGGAATAGAGTAAGTGTCAAGAAGCTGCAAGGGAGATGACCAGTGGATGAAGTGCTTGCCACACAAGCCTGAGGCCCTGCGTCTGGGTCCTCAGCACCCAGGTAAAGAGCAAGGTGTAGTGTGTGCCTGTAATCCCAGCACAAGGGAGGTGAATGCAGGAGGATCCACGGAGCTCCCTAGCCAGCCAGTCTAGCTAAATCGGTGGTGAGCTACAAGTCAGTGGCAGAGCCTGTCTCATAAAAGTAAAGATAGAGAGTGAGAGAAGGGCATCCATATGTGCACGTGTGCGTGTGTGCGTGTGTGCATGCGTGTGCGCCTGCATACACACACACACACACACACACACACACACACACACCTTTGTTACTCTAATCTGTTCTGCTCACATAGGCATAGAAAGGGCTCCAATGTTGTCTGCTTTAGACAGTGAGTATATATTGGAATTAAGCTGCATAATTTGACCTAAACGGCTAAGAATCCAGTCCCATTCCCGTTTAAAGAGT